ACACACACACACACACACACACATATATATATAAATGTGCTGAACTCAAGCTTGTAAAGAAAATGTTCTAATCTGAACATAAACCCATTTGATCAAAGTTCTATTTCCCAAAAATACAAATAGGGTTAGAAAGAAAATTCTAAACAAATAATAAAAAGTGCTTTGTTTAATAATTCCTACACAATCTATTTAATGCTCTGCATTTTAACCACACACATAAATATTTAGTTTTATATTACGAAATGAGCTATTTAGACTCTATTACTACACTAAAAATGAATTGACAAAGATAAGTTTGAGATAAGAATTCAAAGTCTTAGATTGTGGATTTTCTGGGCAATCCCAAAGACATTTGGCCAGGCTTTTCCCCTTGACATTCAAATCCTCCATATATGCAGCATATGTCATTTTGCAGTACAGGAACAACTTTTGTTTATTCCTCAAAGAAGTAATCCCAGCATTTCTACAGGGAAAAAAGGATGTTGCATTCTATGAAGTTTGCTTTAATGAAACACTGATATTGCTGTAAGTGATAGACTTGGCTTCAAATATGCACCTGGGAGTTTGCTGGCAAAGAAATTACAACTGAGGCCCATAATGGAATGTGTGTGTGTGTGTGTGTGAGTGTGTGTGTGTGAGTGTGTGAGTGTGTGTTTGGTTAATATAGTAAAAGCTCCCTTTTTTATATCCAAATTATTTGAGTGGGTAAAATTCGGTACCAACATTTGCATTTTATAGCTTGAACATATTCAGTTCTGAAGGCTTGTCTGAGGAGATCAGTCATCAAATAAGTCTAAACATGCCTCACTTTCAGAAGAACATATCCAAGTTACTGGAAAAAAAGGGGAGATATGCTTAAAATATACAAGAGTTATTAATCAACTGTAAAAGTTAACTTTCAACATAATATGGGTTAATTAATTTGAAACAAAAGGGTATGATCAGTTTTATTTCCCATTTTCAGGAAATATTAAAATCTGTGGTTTGTGTATAATAAAATTGTGGAACATAACTGTCTGCTTAACTTTATGTCCTAGAATTTTCTCTTCTACAGAAGTTAATTTGATCTGCTCAATTACTGTATATACAATATGACTAATTTTGTAGAGTACACAATTGTACTGCTTTTTCAATAACCCATGAAAGAGGATGTTTATAGAATTCCCATAAAAGGGAAATGGAAGCATATTCCATTATTTTTCAAGTTATAGTCCTGTTTCCATAAATTATATTCATTAGTGGAATCCAATGTAGTTTTTCCACTGACAGAACTTTTCAATTACAGAATCCCCTTCATCAACCCTCAAACTCAGTTGAGTTACATAACTTTTTAAAATAAATCTGGGGGAAACAGGATAAATTCAGCAGAGAATAAGAAATGCGATATCTGCTCATTAGCGTTTGATTGTGTCCCGCATCTGAAAATATCTGATTATCCAATATTTTTAGTTACTATTGCAAGGACCATTGTCTTATGGTTCTGTTTACTTCAAAAAGATTAAATGTTACATTTACCATCTTTAAAGTTATCATGGAAGAGATAGAAGCCATTATAGTATAAACATTGCTATTTAGTTAGCTGGAAGCCTGACACTAAGGAGTCATCTGGTAACATCTGTTCTGGCTGTGACATTTTGTTAAAGGGCTTACAGTAAACATTTACAAATACGTATGTCTTTTAATAAAAGTTGTTAGTCAGAAAAGGTGCTATCAGACTTCTCATATTTCACAAATTTTATATATATATATATATTTTCTGAATCAAAGACTTCAGCTGCTGCATCAGGTTTGGCTAACATCCAGATCATGTACTGTCTTCTACTTTTGTTTCCGTTTCTAAAAATTAAATTAATCCTGTAAAATCCTATGCAATTATCAATTGCCATAACTTGCTTATATAAAATTGCCAGAATGTTCAAAACCTAAACACAAATGTTTCTAAATTGGGCAAAAGGCTTGAGGAGAAATCCATATTTAACATAAGTGTCTTCAGGCATGGTAGACATGTCTGAAGAAGGGATTCTACAACTTAAAGTTTTATGAGCTTAAAAACAGACCAACCCAATGAAAATTCATTATTCCAGACCATCAGAAAGGAAATTATTTCAGACCCTCTGAAAAGAAAACTGTGTGCTTTGGGGCAAGGTGTCTTTTTAAAATTCTTTCCATCTCATGCTATTCATTATTTCTGTATACCACCGGCAAAAGGCATTGCGTAACACTGGACTTTTGACAAGGCAAGAAACAGATTTCTTCTTACCTGAGTGTAGTCTTCTGAAACTAATATAAATCCATTATTATCAATGAGGTAACAGTTAATATTCTGTAAAGTAACAAAAATGTGTGTTAAGTCATTTCAATATTGTATTTTTCACTCAAGGAGGAAATAATATGCCTTAGTAAGACCACACCTAGAGTACTGTATCCAGTTTTGTTCACCACATTATAAAAAAGATGTTGAGACTCTAGAAAAAGTACAGAGAAGAGCAACCAGGATGATTAGGAGACTGGAGACTAAAACATATGAAGAACGGTTACAGGAACTGGGCTTGGCTAGTCTAGTGAAGAGAAGGACTAGGGGAGACATGATAGCAGTCTTCCAATATTTGAGGGGCTGCCACAGAGAGGAAGGGGTCAATCTATTTTCTAAAGCGCCTGAAGGCCAGACAAGGAATAATGGATGGAAACTGAACAAGGAGAGATTTAACCTGGAAATAAGGAGAAACTTTCTGACAGTGAGAACAATCAACCAATGGAACACCTTGCCCTCGGAAGTTGTGAGAGTGCCATCACTTGAGACTTTCAAGAAGAGATTGGACTGCCATCTGTCAGAAATGATGTAGGGTCTCCCACTTGGGCAGAGGGTTGGACTAGATGACCTACAAGGTCCCTTCCAACTCTGATTATCTGTTAAATCTGTTAATATTTCTGTTTTGATTTTAAAAACTAATCTGTAGTGCAGTGACTGAAGAAAACTTCACTGAGATTCAAGTGACATGATAGTAGTGTTCCAATATCTCAGGTGCTGTCACAAAGAAGAGAGAATGAAGCTATTCTCTGAAGCACCTGAGGGCAGGACAAGAAACAATGGGTGGAAACTAATCAAGGAAAGAAGCAACCTAGAACTAAGGAGAAATTTTCTAACAGTTAGAACAATTAATCAGTGGAACGACTTGCCTCCAGAAGTTGGGTGGGTGCTCTAACACTTGAAACTTTTAAGAAGAGATTGGACAGTAATTTGTCTGAAATGATATAGGGTTTCGTGCCTAAGTAACGGATTGGACTAGAAGACCTCCAAGGTCCCTTCCAACTTTGTTATTCTATTCTATTCTATTCTATTCTATTCTATTCTATTCTATTCTATTCTATTCTATTCTATTCT